AAAGATGATTGGCTTCCTCCAACCAGTATCTCCATTCCTCCAGAGCTAGTTTGATGGCCAGAAGTTCTCGATTACCAACATTGTAATTCTGCTCCACCGGGGACATCTTACAATAAAAGAAGGCACATGGATGGAGTCATGAAGTGGTCCCCTGCCACTGAGAAAGAACATCTCCTACTCCTTGGTGGATGCTTCCACTTCCACAATGAAGGGCAGATTAAGATCAGGATGCTTTAGCATAGTGGCCGAACAGAAGCCTTTCTTCAAACACTCAAATGCTTCGGAGGCTTCATCAGACTATGTTAACTGATTGGTACCCTTTTTCACCATAAAAGTTAATGGAGCACAGATCTTACTTTAGTCGTGGATGAATCAGCGATAAAAGTTGGTAAAGTCCAGGAAGTGTTGCAGCTCTTTCAGGGTTTGAGGCTTGAACCAGTTGAGTGCAGCTTCCACTTTGTTTCGATCCATTGAGATGCCGTCTGGACAAATTACGTACCCCAGGAAGTGCATGGTCTCCTGGGGGAATTTACATTTCTCTAACTTCAAGTACAGATGGTACTCACGGAGATGTTTCAAGACCTTCTTCAATTGCTGGACATGTTCTTTGAGATTGGTAGAAAAGATCAGGATATCGATGATGTAGATGACAAAGTTGTGGAGCATATCTCGAAATTTTATTCATGAAGTCTTGGAAGACAGCTGGACTGTTTGAAAGGCATGACCCGATTTTCATAGTGTCCAGCAGTGGTAATAAAGGCAGTCCTCCACTCATGTCCCTCAAGGATACAAACCAGATTATAAACACTTCTCAGGTCGAGCTTGAAGATACAAGCTGAATGCAACTGTTCCAGGGCTGAGGGCACCAGAGGCAGTGGGTATCTGTACTTAACTGTAGAGGCATTCAGAATGTGATAATCTATACATGGGCAGAGTCCTCCATCCTTTTTCCCAACAAAGAAAAAGCTTGAAGCGACGGGAGACATAGATGGCTGATGTAAAGCCTCCTCCACGTACTCCTCCATGACCTTCTGCTCCAGGATGGACAATGGATATATCTTTCCATGTGGTAGAGTGGCCCCGACAGCAGATCAACCGCACAGTCCCATGGCTGATGAGGTGAAAGAGTGGTGGCGAAATGTTTGCTAAACATGTCCTGGAATGCCCGATATTTCTGTGGGATTCTGTGAGAGGATTCTGTGGCTGGACTTTCTTCTGAAGTTAAACCCAGGATAACAGGAACAGCATGCATAAAAGACAGCGAAATACATTCCTAACAGGGAGAAGACAATGTTCCTTCTTCTGCAGAGAGGTTTCCCTAGAATGTATTTCCATTTGTAAATGTACGGAAGCTCCGTAGTACATGCAGAGGTTATTGGTGCGACAACGATTACATTCATCTGTGGTAAGATGTCCAGCATCTATTTCCATGGGTTCTGGTACTGGAGGGCGTATGGACAAGGACTGGCGAGAAGAGTGTGAAAGGAAGTTGTTTAAGCAAGCTGTCCTATGAGTACAAAGCGCTGGATGAGTTTCTTAATTCCGATTGAATCCTCGTAGATGACCAGTTGTAAGCAGATTTCAGAGTTGAGCCCTTGACGATAGGCAGTCATCAATGCGATCTCATTCCATCTGCTGTTCACATCAATCGTCCGAAACTTCAGTGCGAAAATGTTCAATGAAACCATTGAATGACAGTAAAGCAGGAGCATTGGAATCCCAAAAGGCTTGAGACAATTTCAACGCATGTCCATAGAGCATCCAGCAGGGAAATTATGAAAGCAATTTAGGCTTTTTCAGAAATCAATTGAGTAGTATTTACCTCCATATAAAGCTTGCATTGCAGAAGAAACCCGTTGCACTCCTCCTATGAAGCAAGTTTGGCCATGGTACTTAATGAGGCATGTCTGAGGTTCTGAAGTGCGTGATGGAATTCAGTGAAGGTTTCCTAGAGCAGTGTGGTGTGGTGCTGAGGCTGCATTGGCAGCGATGTATGCAGAGGTATACATAAGCGATTAGGGTGCGGTGGAAGCATGTATGGCAGCGCCCGAGGGGCTTCGGTGGATACGGTGTTCTGTCAATTCATGCTATCCAGAGATTTGCTACTTACTAGTTATGCGCATGTATAGACAAAAGGTCAATTTTCATGTGTTTCATAATGTAATTTCCCTTTAAAAAATGCTAACTACCATATGAATATTTGTACGGTAAACCAGCTGAACAAGAATAACTGAAAGTTTCAGTTATTAAGGAAAGATGTGCAAGTCAAAGATGAATATTTGATGATAATTTTTACTTTTCACAACATTTAAAAAATAAAAATAGTAGCCTACAGTATACTGTACAGTAGCTACTTAGAATTGTATTATAATTGTATTTCATATAATATTAATCAACATTTACTGTGATCAATTTGCACCACGGTGGCATTTTTCGACAAGGCAGCACAAATCATCAGAACAACGGCAATGATCTTGTGAGCTGTGCAGGTGGTGAGTAATCAGTATTCAGGTGTGCTGAGTTGATGCTGGTTGGGGTGTGTCGCTAGGTGTATCCGTGACAGTTATATTATGATTTATACTATATACTATATATATTTTTATATTATACATTTTTAATATTGTATTTTGTTGCATTTGTCCAAACAAACTAGATCCTGACATGCAAAATTTATGAATATTAATGACATCATGTTGACAGTTTTGCCAAAACTCCTAGCGGTTTGATGTGTGCTTAATGACAAAAATTCTGATTTGAGCCTACAGCATGCCATCTCACTGACATGGCGAAGCATGCTAGACTCTATTTACAAAACCTTTAATTAAACAATTAATTTTCCCTAGAAATCGAGAATGGATCAGACACTTAGCATTTTTTTTATATATAAAACAAACATTTATCTCTAATAAAAAAGGAAGGCTTACTGCGCTTCTGAAAAATGCCAAACGATCCGGTGCAACCAGGGCAGGACAAGATCAAACAGAACGGGAGAAACACCGGTGCACACATCTTCTTAGTAGCAAATTTATTAGAGGTACAACAATTGACTAACGTTTCGATGTACAACTACATCTTCATCAGAGTCCTTGACATTTAGTCCTTGACAGTCCCAAACATTTATCTCTCTCCAGGTAATCATCAAGTTAATCAGTAATCATATTGCATCAAGAACATAGATAAATTTGGCTTGTTGCAGTTGTGCACTCAAAATAATGATGTTTCACATGATGTCTAGCAAAAGATGACTTATGCAGTGAGATTTGTGTCCATGCTACAGGGCCCCTGCTGGGCTTTCCAGATCTTGCTTCGTATTTCCCTTTAGTCTGTTAGTTGTCCTCAGTTCACTTAAAACTTTTGAAAAACAACCGTTGAAAAAAAGAGAAGCCACAGGAATGTTCTGGAACGATCTTCTGCTCTGATGAGTCCTCTTAACATTGAGCTAAATCATGAATGTGTTTATTTGGCAATTCTTCAGGGTTACAAGATTTGCCCAGCATGTTCTCACAAATATGAGATAAAAATGCCAATGTGCGAAATCAGTGTTCAGCATCTGAACTGGAAGTCAGTTTAGTTTAATTGATTCAAACCTAAATGCCTTCATTGACCTTTTCTTTTTAAGTGAAATGAAATGAGTATAGAATGAATATAGAAATTTACAGAATGAATAGACTTGTACACTTGTTGACACTTTAAATTCGTTCTTCCCTGTAATATAACAAGCTTCTTGTTGTTCAATTAAATGGATAGTTGCCTGATTATTTGGTGAACTTTCTTTCTTTCTTTCTCTTTCTTTCTTTCAAACAAAAAAAAATAATTAAATAAAAAAATAATTTTTTAAAATATTTTAAAGAAAATATTTGATACTTTGAAAAGGTATGATTTTATAAAATAATTATAAAGATGTGTACACTGTGTGTTCAAGGTGAGGAAGTCTTAATGCATGTAATTGATTCATATCTTTCCTAAGCCTGTCAGCTGCTTTTACTATTAAAAGGATTTGGGTTGCATCTGTCATTGTCACATGATACGTATAGCTTTCCAATGAAGACCTTATAGAACTTTTGGGCTCCATGTTAGGAGAGCACGTCATTGCACGCTGCAGCGGTCTCGTATCTCTCACGGAGGAGCTTTGGAAGCATAAAAGGTGTGTGCGACGACAGTGAAGGACGAGAGAGGAGCAAGCCTGGACTGGTTTATGTTATGTTTTGTGTGTGTATGTCTTTTACTAATTTACTATTTTACTAATTGTTAATTTTGGATTAAAGTGTTTGAACGTCCGCTGGTCCCTGCCTCCTTCTTCCATGAACAACATACTTTACATAGACCCTAGCTGATGAGACTCCATCCCGTCACTGGTTTTAAATATACTATTTCCAGATGTTTGTTCTTTATTCATGTTATATTATGAAGGCTATTTGTGCTTAATACATATTTAAAAACATTTATATGTTTGTATGATTTATAATTAATGCACTTTTAAGTTAATTTTACTGAAATGTGTGTTGGTAGTGCCTGTACACAACCATCATAATGATAAAAATCTATCCTGTGTTTTTGTTTTAATTTCCTTGTTTGTTTTTCTCTGCCTCAAATTGAGCCATTTGACGTCACACTATCGAATGCCCCTCCCACGATTGTTGATTGACAGCAGTGTTTTAACACATCCCCGCCCTGAGCGAGCTGTAGTCCTTCACAAGAATGGTATACTGGCATCCATCTCGAAAAGCGCCAAATGTTTGTTGTTGAAAGTCGTCATACAAAAAACTTGTGCAGAATATGAAATGGTGAACACGTGGCAGTCATATGAAACCTCTTTATTTCCCATCTATTAAAAGGATCTACAATATTGTATTGGCCCTCAACATGTTATTCAATAACCTAATAAATTGCATTTAGGGAGTTTTAATAAACTGGTTTGCTTAAATGTTTTTCTCATTTTTACAATGCCACTTTGTGTGCATAATTGCATTTATCTCCTTTCCACTGTCATTGTTTTGCAGGGAACATATTTGTGGTGAGCTTGGCAGTAGCTGACCTGGTGGTAGCAGTCTATCCTTATCCTCTCGTGCTGGTCTCCATTTTCCACAATGGATGGAACTTGGGATTCGTCCACTGCCAGATCAGTGGATTCCTGATGGGACTGAGCGTGATTGGATCAATTTTTAACATAACTGGCATTGCCATCAATCGCTACTGCTATATCTGTCACAGCCTCAAGTATGACAAGCTATACAGCGACAAGAACTCTCTTTGTTACGTCGTTCTCATCTGGATACTTACCGTGGTCGCTATAGTGCCAAACTTCTACGTAGGCTCCCTGCAGTACGACCCCAGGGTCTACTCATGTACATTTGCGCAGTCGGCCAGCTCAGCGTACACCATCTCTGTGGTTTTCTTCCATTTCTTTCTTCCAATCATGATTGTGACGTACTGCTACCTGCGGATCTGGATCTTGGTAATCCAGGTGAGGAGACGCGTCAAACCCGAGTTTCGGCCAAAACTCACGCCGCACGACATAAGGAACTTCATCACCATGTTTGTGGTGTTTGTTCTTTTTGCCGTCTGCTGGGCCCCTCTCAATTTCATCGGCTTGGCGGTCGCCATAGACCCCGGGCGGGTTGCGCCTCTCATCCCGGAGTGGTTTTTTGTATCCAGTTATTTTATGGCCTATTTCAACAGCTGCCTTAATGCCATAGTCTACGGACTGCTGAACCAGAACTTCAGAAGAGAGTACAAAAAAATTATCGTCTCACTCTGCACTGCGAAGATGTTCTTCCCAGAGAGTTCAAATGATGCTGCAGATCGGATCAAAAGCAAGCCATCTCCTTTAATGACAAACAACAACCGAGTAAAAGTAGATTCGGTATGAAAACATAGAAAGTACGCTATAAACAAAAACCAAATAAGCATGAAATGCAACAAACCAATGCACTGTCATACATGAAAAACAAGGTGCCAAGTGAGCAGATTAATAGCCCTTAAAACTGATAAGTGCTCAACAATGTTATTTTATGATCTTTATATATATATATATATATATACAGTACAGTATATATATATATACAGTATATATATAGTTATTTTTACATTATAATCAAATAATGCACTGCAAAATAATACTCTATACTTTGTTTATTGTACTTAAGTATAGTTATTTCTTGGTAACCTTAAAGGGTACATATCATGCTAAATCCACTTTTAGCCCTTAAATGGATTTTGTTGTATATCTGGAGTGTTTATAAGTACAAAAAAGTTGAAATTATTCTCTACAGGTGCTTCATTTATATCTTTATAATCTGTTTTGGTCATATTTTCAACCTGTTCAGATTTTTCTGTACTCTATGATGTATTTTGAACAATTACGTCACAGTATTTGCAGCGGAACTGACAAATAAGGACATTGACTACCGGCCCAACACTTCGAGCAATCCGCCATTTTTATTTCTCGCTCCAATTTTGTAGTCAAAGCTCAAGGATATAGAAGTTACGATACGAGAGGGCAAGTCAAAAGTTCGGTTGTTGGATGTAGTGACCTGAAGCACTTCAAGGATTCCAACTTCTACAACCTCTGCCAGTATAAAGAAGGGTTTTCCGATCGACTTCGTCTGAATGAGGGGTAAATTCCTTCTATCTTTGGAGACGACGAACAGAGCATTTCAATAAGCTGTAAATATTGTTAATAAAAATAAAGTAGTTTACTTTCTTAAAACACATGGTGGTCATGGTTTAGCAGTACCTTTGTCTTTCTTTGTTTTTGTTTTGAAGTAACCTTACACGTTTGCAGTATTATTGTTCTTGAGTTTCATCAATGGTCATTTAGCTGCTGTGTTTTCTGATGCTTTTCTAAATGTATCATATCATCAATACAGATTTTTAGTGGTAAGATTAGACCGTAGTCATTTATCTTGTTAGTGTGCTTATTTTAACAAGAGAAATAATCGACTTTCACTTATAACACAATACTACATCCATATGAAGAAGTTGTTCTGCAGGTTCTTCGTCTTCTTTTTCAACTCGCTCGCTCTGACTCGCACATGTAAGGCTTGAAGAACAAGTCTTCCGTTGTTGAAATTTTTTTAAAGTGTGAAAAAAAAATGTTCTTTGACTACTTATAATCGTTTATCTCTAATCAAACTACAAAAATGGCCGAACGGGGTGGAGTTGAACTGAGTGTGAACTCAGCAACCTGGAAAGCGGGCGGGCGGGGTATGACACACCTCCTTTTTATTTAAAGAGGTCGCTCCAAAACGAGTTGCTCACAGACGCACATCAGAAAAAGGGTATAAAAGGGGCCTTTGGAGCTATAATAATGAGGAATTCAGACCCAAGCATAGCAATTTCGCTTTATATAGACCACAATTGTATGATTTATTTGTAAAAAGGAATGATATGTACCCTTTAAGTTGTCAGATAGCCATTGCAGGGCAAATAATGTGAAAAAGAATTTCTCCAATATATTTGAAAGCAAATGTCTTTCCACAACAGATTTTTAAGGATAGTTCTGTCATCATTTGCTCTCCCTAAAGTTGTTCCGAACCTGTATGAATTTCTTTTTTTCAGCTGAACACAAAGAAAGCTATATTGAAGAATGTTTGTAACCAAACCCCATTGACTTCACTTTTATCTGACAAGCTCTTAAAGGGATAGCCCTAAAAATGTTAATCACTATTTACCCACTCTTATGTCATTCTGTATGATTAATGAAATCAATTAGGTCCAAAACAACATTAGACTAAATTGACTTTCATTGTATAGACAAAAAAAATGTTTTGAAAAATATGTTCTTTTGTGTTCAACAGAAAAAAAAAAATAGTTATAGAGATGTGTAGCAATTTGAGAGTGAGTAAACTGGTAGTCTCAATGGCTCATATAGGATATAGAATGGCAGTTTGATTGAGTCTAGGGCTTCAAGGTGTTTAGATTTTTGCCAATTTGAACATTCCGCAATGTTAAGTCAATCGTTTTTAGGAAAACCGCAAGTTCGATCAGTTAGTAAAGATCAAAACAGTTTGAGTGTCTGAGCCGAGTTGTTTGAAGGTTTTTCTCAATGTCAAGGATATTTGCTTGGCAAGACGGGTCCTTCCAAGTCATTTCCTTCAGAGGCTAGACGAGGCTCCTCTTTAACATTGGGAGAACACGTAAATGGAACAGGCTAGTAAGAGCTTGTCATTGCGTCATTACATCAGTGAAAGGTCCGCTTTTGGCGCTGCAAAAAATGGTAGTGCTACTGGTTTGGATGCTCTACAGCACTGTTTAAACTTCCTCAAGCCAACTTAATAAGTTTAAATAGGAGTAAGTTAAGTTAGCTCTCAAGGAGATAGTTTTCAGTAAGTTAGCTCTCAACTTAAAATACATGAATGTTTGCACTCATCCATAAAAATTATTAGATCCATCAGCTTGACAGCAAGTCCCGTCATGCAGCTTGTTATTGTTGGAAACCGCGCCCTATTGTGGCGGAAAAAAAACTACATATTGTGCCTTTAAAAGCAAAATTAAACAGCTTTAGGGACAGGGACGCTATAATTTTCATTTTTTTCAGTACATTACACTGGAAAAGCAGCAGTAGCTCAGCTGCTTTAAAAATCAACATGTAATTAAAATAACCCCTATTTACAGTTTCATTGCATGTTTATTGGTTTTTGTAAACAATTCATTGGTGTACATTCTTTTTTATGTTATTTGCCATTTCTGCATTTTCTTTTTTTAGGACAATGAAGCAATGGGAAAGGAGGGAAGGAAACATGATCTGGAAAATACTTCAGCATGACTCAAACTCATGTTGAGTCCTTGTGTTCAGTGGCTTCCTTAACACTGACATTACAAGACAATTATGGTCACATGAATATGTGCCATCACGCCTTATGGATGATCAATTACTTCAATGAAATACTATTTCAGCATTAACCCAGTCCCAGGAATAATAAAACCTCAGTGATTTTGCTGGACACCTTCCATAGAGACAAAATATCCGTTCATTTTTGGAATGATACCACTGGTGGTCTTAACACATACTGATATACATCCTGTTCGCTGCTATTCAAGCTTTCCAAATTCCAGCACATCACACAATGAGCTTTGACAATTCTTTTTTTTTTACTCTCTCTATCCTAGAAACACTTAATGCACATTTGTATACATCAGCGCGTCACAATGTGATTCATCCATTTGCAATGCATACTTTAAACAGAATCATGTGATGCTATTTCAGAGCAAACCGGAGATTGTTTTCATTGACCTGTTTACGTGCCCACGGATGGTTATTTCTGGACATTCAGAGAGAAGTGTCTTTAAATCGGTGAAAGCTTAAGTAATTACGCATGTCTCTGTACGAGCTTGACGAGGGAACAGACTGTCTTTGAGAACCCCTACCACCTCTTTTTCATGGCATCTCTTTCCCATATCTTAATGAACTTGAACAGATTAAATACGATGATAAATGATGAGCCATAGAGTAGCCACCCCCATCTGAGAATTTATATATATATAGTTATTATTTGGGATTATATTATGATGAAATATTTTAATCTCAGGCTGATTCTCAGAGGAGGGATTCAAGAGGTGATGAGACCATCCCCACCTCCACACATGAATGAAAAGATGCTTGATTAAATCCTTTCCACAAGACATTGGCAATAAAAAGGAACCATTACTTGTGAAATACAATCGATGGAAATTTTTGCCAAAAAGGAATACATTGAGTTTAGTAATAACCATCTTTCTGTTTTGCCAGGATTGCTAAAAATTAGCTTTGTGCAGTTTACTGAAGACAAAAATATTATTGTTATATGGTTGAATCAACCTGACTACTTTAGGCAACACCAATGATAATTTTTTTTTTTTAAAAGGTCAAGGATCAATGTTTGGCTGGTTAGCAACTTAGCATGATTCACTAAGCCCCTGCTGGTATATGTGGGTAACTACACACTTCTCTAGTTCTCAAAAAGAACCTTTTTCCATTGACAGCCATTAAAAATATGCTGTATTCAGAAAAAAAAGAACTGTAGATGCTTTACCCCTACCTAATTTAAATGGCTCTTAAAATGATAAAAGATGCTGTTGAAGAGGAGATTTCGTACTTGTGCAGGATGAAAGAAGTCTAATTTGGAGAAAACTGAATTTAAATATATATATATTGCAACTGAAGATGCAAATAGATAAAATGTAATAAAATAACACTTAAATGTGTATTTTTCTTTCCACTAGTTTTGAATATTATGGAAGCAAAATTGGCCAAAATCTCAAAATTGACAGCGCATGGAAAAAACAATGGTTCCCTTTCGTAAGGAAAATCCCGCTGCATCCATATTCAGCACTTTGGGGAATGCCTTCGGCATGTAGTGTCTGAAGTCAACTATGGAATCATCCCAATCTCAATTGGTGTAGCATCATTACGCCTCAATACCGGAGTCTGCCATTTTTTTTCCCAGAGGTGTCGAGATCATGGAATAAGCCCTTCTCCTCACATCTATCTAGCCCCAATGTACAAATATATTCAAATATATTGGGTGCCAGTAGGGATGGGATGATTAATGGTCTCACAATAAACCACAATCAAATATACTGACGGTTAGCAATGTTGTTTAAAATTGAATTGTCATTAAAACAGCGTTTGATTATCGCAAATCAATTTAGTATCCGTGACGTCACCCGTAGGTTTCTGAAGAGCGTTTTTGAAGCCTAAAGTGGGCGGGCCGGCCATCGCCATCTTGGCAGCGCGTCACCTCTCATCATTACCGGATAAAATAAATGGGCAAAGAGGCGGGTCGTGGGTGGAGCTGAGGTGCTAATGCTGTATGCTACTGGCCTCAGGCTAAAGTGACCGCTGATTGAACAATTAAAGCCAGAAGTTAAAGTTCATGTTTTTGCCCTTAGAAATATTATAATAGTTAAAAGACGTAACTAAAAGTGAGACTATTTACTTTTTTTATCAACTTAATCTCACAAGGAAGGGGCAATTAGTTAAGAGCATGTACAACAGTACATAACACAGATCACACACATTTCTCACAACATACAAGCATTCAACTATGTGTATCGTGATGCATTATTATTCTGCTAGTTAAAAATGTATTATCATGCAGACAGTAACTTACAGCTTGTGTGTGTGACAGTGATTCATGCACATACGTGTCAGTCGGCATGGCATCAACGTCAAGATCGTAAAGAGCTTTATTCGGTACATTTTACAATCTGATTTTGGCCGCCTCTCAATTTCTCAGATGGGTTAAACCAAAGATATTACCTCAGAAGTTAAAGTAAATGCACTAGAAATCCACACTCATTCAAGGGTGGGCATCTATTGTTGCATGGGCGAAGAGAAAGCACTGAAATTATCAGACATGCGTTAGTGAATTAGAGGGAAACAACTGGAAATACAGCGCTGGTTGTTCTCTCCATACTCGACAACGACGGAATCCAACGGCGTGCATGGGCGAAGGTATAATATGTGTATAAAATTGTATGAAATAATCCCGAAAAAAGCACAAACACAGCTGCGGTTGACGCAAACAAACGACTAGCATAAAAACGACTAGCAGTGACAGCAGCGGCAATCCACCTGTCACTCAAGTGGCCACTCCCTTAATTATGCAGAACTTTAAGGCTTAATATAATTTAAACGGATGAGTTGTAAAAAAAATTCAACCCCCTCACAGTCGTCATGAAGGGCAAAATTAGAGTTTTTAACTATTTGCCACCAGGCTGTAAACATGTTTTTTTTTCTGCTGTGAAGTTAGGCATTTTAACATGGGGGAGATACAGATTTGACTCGCTTTTGCAGCCAGCCTCAATTTGCGGCCACTCAATGAATTGCAGTTTAATTCAGTTCTGTTTTGGTTTCAAGAGAGAGACGGGGAGGTTGCCGCTTGATAGAAACACTTCAAATCTTCAGTCGTCTTGTGTGACCATCACCCATTCTTGTAGAGCGAACACAAGGCAAGTTAACTTTGACCTCAATACCAAAACTACATCTGGGAAACAATTGGGCACGAAATGTTTTGAGTTGAAATGTTTTATGTCACTCACTTGAAATGAACGTGAAGCAGAAGACGAACGAACAACTTCAAACAAAACTATTATTAAGAGTGAAATTGTTTTAAGGGATTGTAATGTACACTTGTGAAAGATTGTAATCGTTCCCTGAGACGCTGCATCCCTTGGCCACTCTTTCCGCGCTCCTGAGAACGACTTTGCTTTGACCAATCAGAAGCTAACACTTCCTGTTTCCTGTGACCTTTTATAGCGTCCAGATCATTGTCACATGCAACGTCACAAGTGATGTAATGGCACAACACCACCAATCGAGATTATAATGATTCCATAGTTGACTTCAAACACTACATGCCGAAGGCATTCCCTAAAGCGTAGAGTATCAGTGCAGCGTCTCGTTCCCTTAGTAGGGAACAAGGGTTACAGTAGTAACCCGGGACGTTTTGCCTGTAATGTCTTGCCTTGAAATTAACAATACAGTATTTTATATAAAATGATAGTAACAGTTATATAATATAATACAACTTTGATATCAAGGCTCAAGATCAATAATGAGGGTCTTGATTGTTAATGTTTTTGTGGTGCCATTAGCCAATCAGTGTTGTCGATTAATTTCTACAGCTTCAGAGTGATTAGTCACATGGTATTTAAAGCTCGGGAAATTGTATCCTGACATTTGGAAAAATTTGCAGTCCCACGAACAAAGACCGGAATTGATATTCTTCTACAGGTCAATTAGACATGATTCCTTAAGATAACAATGGCACATTTCCACATTTTAAGAATTCTGGATGAATGTTGAGGTGATTATTTTCCTTGGCAGTGGATAGGTTAAGCATCTTGTCGACCTTCTGCACACAGACCTGCTGTGGGAAATGTGGACTTGCCTTCCTTCAGGGCTTGTGCTGTGAGTGCTGCTATTGAGTGGGAGTTACCAGAGAGACTCAACTGTGAACCTGCTCAAGTTCAAAGCTCAGCAGTTTGAGAAAGCCAAATGTTTTTGTGCATTTAGGGGAAATAAGGGAAATAAGGTCCTTGTACTTGTGTGCATGCACGTATGAGTGTCTGTCTGCAGAGTCAAGATTCTGCTATCAGCAATTCTCAGTCCAGCATGAAGCCATTTGACAGCTGAAGGAACAATGGATTACTATTCCACAGAGCAGAAAACATAATTGAGTTAGCAACATTTATATTTTGTGTCTTGCTATGAAGAGGGGTTTCATAAAGCCATGTTGTGTTAGGCTCCAGAGGATTTAGAACCTGCCACTTATCTTGAAGCCTAAACTGAAGATGGAGCCTCTTTCTGGGCATACGCAAGAAACAAGTGTGAAATGCAATTACTTTCCTGTTATTTCATAGCTTTCCTTTGAAATTCCTCCTTTAATTCTTCACATTTACCGTGAAAACAATAACATTCCTGTCAGTCTGGTAAATGAACTGAAAATGTGAAACGGAATATATCACAGTGTTGAGCCGAGCGTCATAAATGTTCAATATCTGACGTACCATTAAATTAAACAGGTATTAAACATAATTTCTAGGTATGCTAGAAGAATTTTGGTTATGTTGGATATTGGCAGACATGCTGACAATTTATATTTATTTATTTAATAGTTATTATTAAATATTAATATTAAAATTTTAACAACAATAAACAGAGCAAATCGAAGAGGATCCTCGCACCATCAGTGCTAAGGGCATAATATGGGGCATATTTATAATAGTATAATAGTATATATATATATATATATATATATATATATATATATATACACACACACATATAAAGAATATTTTCAATTTATGATTAGCGCTCCGAAAGCAAGCAAATGAGAATAGAACATAACTTTAAAAAAATCTTTCTATTTTTTCTATTACTTTCTTTTTTTTTTTTTCATTTGTTTTGTTTCACAGAAACAAGTGCTGTATTCATGAAATCAAAACAATCATGTAGAGTTCCTTCTCCACACCTCTTCTTTAATTTCACCATGCTTTGTAGATTTTAAAGCCAATATTTGTCTTTCTTTTGCACAGTGGAGGAACCAGCACAGCAGTGAATAACACACTTGTCCTTTCATTGTGATGGAGAGAACACACAGTTCTTATCAAATGAAAATATTACACTGTTTTATTCATTTTTCAACTATGACCTAAAATACAATGCTGGGCACGAATAGTGTTACTAAGTAGGTAAACACAAAAATCAATTATTTAAGACCTTAAATAAAGGATATTTGTAGTTCCTTTTTGTGTGAACTGGAGCACATAAAACCATTGTGGTTAACACACTATGGGGCATTCATCTCTAATGCAATCTTACATTGTTTGCAGAACGGCTTGGAAAATTCTCTAAAATGCCACGTGAAAGTATACTTATGAAAAAGAATAAGAATACTTATCTGACCTTAGAATGAGATGATTCAATTTAACATTCTGAGAAGAACTGGACATTCAGAACAATAAGTTTCACCTGGGTAGATTAAATTTCTTTAAGGTCACCATGAAATCAAAATGGACCATTCTTATTTTTTAAGAAATATGGCAGTATTTGTTATAAATTATTTATCCGTGGACATATTTTTTTAATTTATTTAATTACTCTCTTAATCTTTAATCAGAATAATTTCCCCTCTCTCTTGCAATGACATCTTGTTTCTGATGGCATGTTCACTGGCACGAGAACAGGAAAACATGTCACTCACATGACATAACAGCAATTGCAAAACAAACCAATCAATTCACATTGAACAAAATCAACTCTTGATCAAAATCAAGTCTCCAACTCTTGGGAGGGGGGGGGGGGGCG